TGCATTATTCTTTATAATATCGATGAGTCCTAAGAAAGTGAGCGGTAAGGATGGTAGTTAGAAGTTAGGAGAAGAAATGCATGATGACAAAGAATACAAATTGGAAAAAAGCAATCAAAAAAAAAAAATAAAAAAGTAAAAAAAAAAAAAAACATAGGCTAAGCTAATTCTAAGTTTTTGTAAGTTACGTAGTGTACATGTTATGTACGCTACGGAATTAGCTGCCATTAACCGATACGCTATCAAAGGTAAGAACTCATAATTAAAACCACATTTTATTTTATATCACAGGAATCCTTATATACTATAATTTTTTGTTTGTTTGTATGCCTCTAGAGCAATTAAAAACATGTTTTTTCCATTGTTATTAGCACTAATAAGGGAGTTTTTTAGAGGGCCGGAATGGATTCTATATTGTTTTCCTGTTATTTCATATGGGAAAAAATGATTTGCGATACGAACACCTAGAGTTACGAGCTCCGCCGTGGAACGGATTATGCTCATATCTCAAAGTTCCACTGTATTTCGGATTCATATGTCTCTTAGTTACTCACCAGCAGACAGGAAATCAGAAACTTGGAGCGATACACTTTCACATAAACTGATTTATTATTATATGATGTGCCAGTTGCTGTACATGAAATCGTAATCTAACAAATAAATCCGAAAAAGTACAGAAGCACACGTTTATGGTAAATGTATAAAAGACAGATACAAATAGATAATACTTGAAATACACACTTCTAGATTGCCGTTTCATTGAGCAACAAACGTTTTTCGACATTCAGCAGAGCGGCGTCTCTCCGGCCTTGTCTCGTGTCTGTGCTTTTGTAGTGATTGTCCAGACCCGACACGCTCGTTACTGTTGTTGGCAGAGTTTTGAGGTCTCGGTGTCCTGTGATTATTAGCACACGGCTTACTGTCTACAACAATAGGCAACAAAAACACTGATAAAGTGGCTTCAGTTATGTCAGGCGTTCTCCAGTTGGATTACAATAATACGATAATTTAATGAACTACAGTCGACACTAACGGCACAGAAACTGATGCAGCCTGTTGTGGTGAGAGCAGAGAGTGTGTAGAAATAAAAAAAGGATTTTTTTTTTTTTTTTTTTTTTTGGAAACGTAAATCAACTTTTTGACATAAGCAATGAGACCATGCTTAGTTTCACTCTTTGTATGTAGAGGTTCACAAATGTCACCTGGATCCAGTTTAATCCAAGCTTTTAACCACACACTCTGTCTACATTTATGACCTAGAACTACTAGACTACTACTACTACTACTACTAGTAGTACTAGTAGAACTTCTCTATAAACTGTTTCACTCACTCTAACCAAGCAATTATTATTTTTTGCCTTCTGATGGTTCATTGCTACTTCCTTGGACCACCCAGGCTACACTCCTACCACAACTGTTACCACTATGTCAGTTCTGTATGTGACCTCTTTGTGGTCGACCCGAACAGAGGAACCAAAACCTGAAGAACAAACCCTTCTCATATATAAACTTACTTATGGAAGGCAGTAAACACCTGGAATCTATGACAATTACACCTGGGAATGGAGGACGGATAGATATTCGAATAAACTATATCTTAATCTATTGTGAAAATTCATTAAAATAAATGATTTTTCTAAAAAGATTCAAACACATCTGTTGTATTGTCCCAAGCCTGTTGCAGTTCTACTTTTGACCAGAAAACGTTTGCAGTGATCCACCATCTCATCAAAAGGTTCACGAGAAGACACTTGCTAACATATCGTTTTCCTAAAACAACAAAATTCAGTTACCAAACGAGAAATGTAGCCATTGGTCCAAAATAAGAAAACATTCGTTTCAAAGATTTACAACCTCATAAAAAAAAAATGAACAGGCTTGGGCTCAGCTGGAATCCAGCCGTGGTCAGAAATCAAAACTACTGACAGAAGCACATGTTGGTTATATTTTAGCTTATACTACGTAATACTGATATTGCTATTGAGTTCAAATTTGAGCAATTAGTCTCACGATGAAAACATATGAAGACGTGGTTTCGCCCCCACGCATTAGATGTCGTTTCCTGTACAACACAAACCTCGTACCTATTCAAGTGAAATGAAGGCTTTCATTCTAATATAGATGAAATATATTGGTCACCTGCCCCGCCTCCGCCCCTTCCCCCTCTCTAAGGATGGCCTAAATGACTTGAGGAATTCATATGTGATTTCATGTGCTCAAGATGTGACAACCATCACAGTTACTGGCTTTTTCTTACTGAAAGTCACATGTAAACGACACTTTTCCATTTTCCATAAACTCATTACAAAGCAGTAGCAGCACCAGCCGAGGACTGGATTCGCTCACTTCGTGCTGTTAGGTCGTGACATGACAGTGTATTTTTTTTTTCCTTCTTTATCACAACTGATATGTCATCGGAGTGAGCATACATGTTGTCACAAACACTGAACACTTCATTGATATGTCTTGGTGATGAATCGGAGACGTTTTAATTGCTTGTTGTACATGTGTTGTAGGTGGAATTACGCTGCAGGACTCGGATTGTAACCCACTTGAAAAAAGGTAAGAACACTGTGCCCAAATCAAAAGAAATTAGTGTTGGGATTTTATATCAACCATTTCCTAGATCAGGCATGGGCAAACTAAGGCCCGGGGGCCGGAATGTGGCCCATTCAGCTTTTTAATCCGGCCCGCCAAACTTTTCCAAATGATGTTTATATTATCATTATACTTGCCCTTTCCCTGCAATACCCACATTTCCCCAGTAGATGGAGTAGAAAATGATAAAAGCATTTTAGCCTTTATCGTGACTTCACACGAACGCTCCATCTATCTGCTCCTGACCCGGCACCCCCCTGTTAAATTTTAGGACAATTGTAGCCCGCGAGTTAAAAAGTTTGCCCACGCCTGTCCTAAACCCAACATTTCTTTTTTTTTTTTTTTTTAAAAAAAAAAACATTCTTCACTCCTAACCCTTTTTTAAAAACACATTTTTACGAGTGAACAATATATGAGCAAAAGTAATGTCAACCATAAAACAACAGACTTGGTCACTTTAAATATAAAAGCATTTTAAATGAACTATTAAACTATTTAGATCAGGCATGGGCAAACTAAGGCCCGGGGGCTGGATGCGGCCCGTTCAGCTTTACAGCTTTACATGTCATTTATCTTAGTTCACGTGAGCGCTCCATCTATCTGCTCCTGACCCGGCCCCCCTGTTCCATTTTAGGTTCAACTGTAGCCCGCGAGTCAAAAAAGTTTGCCCACGCCTGATTTAGATAATGTTACAGTGATGTTTAGGTTTCCCCATCCTGTATTCACACACTATTATCTCACTGTAGTTTCTCTTTGCCTACCTTCTACAAACGATTCAACCTTTTTTTTTTTTTTTTTTTACACAGTAACACAATCTAAAAGGCAGCTTCACACCAGAGGTGTGCAAAAAAAAAAAAAAACCAACATTCTACTTTTGAGTGTTTGATCAGGGTAAAAATACTACTTGTTTTCAGTTCCTTAATATTTAGAAGTTCACAGTGACTTGAGCAGTGGGATCAGTAAGAGCAGAATGGCAAAATCCAGCCCTTTGGTATTCATAAACCAAACAAAAAAATTGGATCGAAGGCAACACAAACGTCTACTGCTTCCTACTACTGTTTCTATAAATCCCTCGAAACTGATAGCAGTATCCAGGTTAAAGCAATATATTGAGCGAAGACGACACAGTCTACATTCACATCATCACTCAGATTGCTCTTGTTAGGTCCTTTTTTTTTTGTTTTTGTTTTGTTGTTTTCGAACTGTTAAAACCCCCAGTCAGTGATGTGAAGTTAAACAGAGAGAGGAAGAGTTAGTATTTCCAGTCATTAGTCCGGCTTTCTGTTGAATTTCTTTTTTTCTCTTCTTCCGAGGCTGCGTTGTGTTAGAAGCTCACCAAAGCGTAGACCATACTTCGCCAGCAAATAAAACAATGGGGGGAAGGAAAAAAAAGGAAATAAATAGACACGATCTTAGCATCCAGCATAAACAATCGAATGTCACATTTATGACTCCTCATGTGACATTCTTCCTTCAGATGTGTGGTATAAAAAACTTCATTCTTCTTCTACTGTTTAATTCTTTTTGGGGGTTTCAAGGAAGTTGGGAAAAAAATCTCAAGATGGAATTGTGAATCGGGAGCGATAGCATAGCTATGGACTAACAGTTTCACCTGAGCGACACTTTTGGCTGGGTGTCCTTTGAAATGAAGCTCTGGTCGTGTTTTCAGGGAGAGAGGGTTGGAATTTTTGTGGAGAGAACTCACAATAATGTAAGTGTGGGCCAGCAGGGGGCAAGAGAGGGGCATTTGAGCTTTAGCACAGTACAGTGGGAATCCAAAAGCACAACTGGCGGAGCTAGCTGTGCACTCTGTGTATGGGTCAATAAACTCAACTCATAAATTAGGATTTAAAATAAATATATCCTCCAAAATATCCCATACAGCCGGGGGGAAACGGAGGAATATATATATACAGTCAATGTTATACTGAGTATAAATTTACAACACAAAGTAAAGCAGAATAATGCCCTTAAGCGCAGCCTTAAACCAAACATTTGCTAATGCTATTTTGTAAATGTGTTTTCAGTAAGGCTAGATCCGCGGTCGCATTATTAGGAAGCATTCATTCTTACGAACTGGGCCTTCAAATTTACCTGCGCAGAAGGTGAAGTAATACGTAAAAGTACTAAATAACTGTCCATGTACTCACCTGTAGAGATAATAAAAGAAGGAGATCAGGTAGAAGCCCAGCTTACACCAGGACTCCTTCTGACAGTAGTTGAGAATGTCAGCGTTCATCACGCTGACAGGATCGTACATGACCTCTGACCCGTCGCGTGGTCTGTGAAAAAACCTAAAAAGGCAAAAAACGTTTCGGAAGCCGTTAACCCAGCGGTCGTGTACAGTAGCATTTCGAGCCGCCATTAACGGAGCCGTACCTCCACAGGTGATAGAAGAGCAGTGGGATATTCAGACCGAGGGTGACCCACTCTCCAGCACACATGAACATCAGGCAGAATAATCCGTGGATGGAATATTCTGGAACGACCAACTAACACAAACAGAGAGGACAAGTGTGGTCATAGCATTGCATTATTACCTGGGTTACACTAACTCAGAGTGTTATTCAATAATTAGACCTGTCAGAGTTAGAATAGAATATTACAGTCATCAAATAACGCTGGTTGCTGGTCTAACCCTGGTTCTATGACTAAGTGGAAGACTAGCACTAGCGGAAATGCCTTTGCATCTGCGCGTTATCGAGAATCGCATAAAAAAAAACGTTGTCACCTCGTGATGTAGGGAA